GATACAAAATTCGGGACTTTTTTTGAGTCATTTTTCCAAAACAATAATTCCTTTTTCTAGACTCAAGGTTATCAAATAAGCGATCAAATAGAAACCTACACCGACACAGGAATCGAGCTTCTCTGAGGATGCACTAGCCTGCGGACACAGACATATTTCTAGTCGTAGCTTCTCTCCATATTAATGAAGAATTGAAAACCGGAAAAAGTTTGTCTTTACAGCCGCCCTCTCGCAGGCTTTCATAAACACTAAACATACCTTAGAGGAAAGAGTTTCAAAAATTTTTGCTGCGAGGCTATGAAATCCCTGAAAAGAAAGACAAATAATGGTTGTCAATAAGAACCAAAAAATGCCAAAGTCAAGTACACAGTTGCACCCTCAATTCTAAGTAAAAAGACTAACCCTTCCTCATACAGCAATAATATTATTGAAGAGTGTAGTCAGTAGTAAGAAAATTCTTAAGTAGGGCTTTGGGACAATTTCATTCACTTAAAAGTGTCAGAAGTGTTCACTGTGATCATTGAATAAAACGGACAAACACTACATGTACATGTATTTTTACTCTAGTATTTGCAACAAACTTCGCAGAAAGATTTGCGTTTCCAAGCTGTTATTTTTGCCTGCAATCCTTTCCTGATGCTCTCTTTTGTTTCTCTGACAAGTAAAGCTAGCAAAGCGATTTACATTTATTCCTAGTGATCAGTGTTGAAAGCATTAAATGTTCGCCACACATGGTTACATTGCCCTAAGTTTATTTCCCTCTTAAAAAGTGTTCACTAGACATAAACCAAGCAAACAGGATTCATTTCAAAATTTTTGGACAATAACTGGAATCGCTGAAACTATTTTTAAACCACCATCCATATAACAAAGACTTAAAAACCTGTCTTGTGGCTTGCTTTCCAACTCTAAATATGGTCCAGTATCTTGAGGATGTTGCTAATCTCTCCAGTTGCTCTAGTACCATATCGTCTAATTTCAATCTTCCTACTTCATCCTGCGACACACCTTGATATGACTGGAAAATCAAAGTTGCTATGCCAACCTAAAGTAACAAGAATTATTTATAATTGAATCATTGGACAATGCAATTCTAGTGCACTAATTGGCTTAGCCATCATGGTATATGGGCCATTATACCATGCTCTCCGAATACGGTAACTGTACACGTCTGCTAAAAGTTAAAGACAAGGTGAAAATCGGTTGTTTTTACAAATAAAGTCGGGACAAGTTCTCGATATTTTGTGGACGTTATTAATAAAACGATTATTCTACTCACACTTGTTGGATATGAGATGATTATAGCCAACTCATATCCAACGCCCAGACATGGAATAATTGTTAAATATACAGTTAAAATAAAAAAAGATTATAGTTTAGGGTTCGTTTACAGTAAAAACTCCATTTTACAGACACCGGAGGAACAAAGCCAAGTACATACATACCATACATACCACTAAATCTTTTGATTCCTGGCCGTTGTCATCAGCATCAACCACAACTTTGGCAAAATGAGATACAATTTCATTTCTTAAAGGAGCCACAACATGTGGCATCTGTGTTGCCATAGTGACCATTGTACGGCAAAGTGCAAGGGCTACTGCACCTAAGAGAAAAAACAGCTATTATGGCCATGAAGTTTTTGATGCCAGCAATATTGATTGAATATAGCCTTTGCAATTACTTGCACAATTAATTAAAACATAATATATAGTGCAATTTTCCATGGCACATGATCAAATTAATGCACTTTATTAAACTGAGTAATTTAACTTCTCAGACACTTAGGGTGCACTTTCTTTAGCAATGTCTAACTTACTGAAGAAAATCTATGCACCTCAAGATTTGTCTCTAAGTGGGTCTTTTAAAGCTAGTAAATGTTTTTTCTTCAGGAGCTATCTGCCTTTTTGATACTTTTCTAAGAAAGCAACTGGCTGAATTAACAATGGCTTATGACATGCTTTCGTTAATATTGCCTTAACTTTGTTCATCTGACATTTTTCTTGAATTTCCTAAAGGATTATTTTATGACCTTGGTAGTATATATTTTTCCTGTTTACCTGATGATGATGGCAAGAGACTGGCTAAACTTTCCATTAGAGATGAGCCTGCCTGAGGATAGCTATCCACCAAATTATTCATTGACAACAAGCATACCTAACCAACAACAGAAAAAGTAATTCATATACAGTTTTCAGTCTGAAAAACCTCACCTGAAACATTCCTTGTTAAGGTACTATGCCTTTGTGGACATTTTCACTCAGTCTCGAGATTTTTTTCACAAAGCTCGATTTAAGGCTTCTTACATGCATCAATGCATGCTGTTTTCCAGCCTTTAATCACATAAAAGAAAAACCTACCCATATGTGTTATTTGAAAAGTACATATTCTTGTTGTAATTCCCAGTATAAGAATACAGCTTTCTGGGTTTGGGCTTGCACAGAAAGCATTGATTTATTATTTATTTATTTATTATTTCAAAATAGTTTTCCTCCGGAGTTTTCCTTACAGATATGCTACCAAAAAAAGTCTCACTTGAAATAATTTTCACATAACAATGATTTTAACCTACAACATGTACGAGTTTTTCTAAAACAGCAGTTCTCCACAACGAGTACTAGTAAAAATTCACCTATATACTACTTAGAGCTTTTAACAATTGCATGCTTAACATTTAACGGTTCAAGTTGTCCACTAACACAACAAACAACACTGGAAGACTCCAGTGCCATAGCTGCTTGTTCACAAAGATCGTCATTTTTGTTATCTACAGCAAAAAACATAAACTGGAACGCCATTATCCTGGTTATCATAACAAGCGGGTCGCATTAACGGGGTCTTCAAAAATAATACATGACTCAGCGTGCAGAGAAAATCATTTTTACAGCTTGCCATTCGGGCAAGCTGAAGCTAGCATTTACTAGTCCAGACATCATTTCAACTAGCCCCAAGAACTTTTTGACTAGCAGAATTGATTTCACAGTTCTTCTGTTATTCGAATTCCTCAAAAAACATCACTTGTCCATCGGGCAAGTTAAAAACAGAATTCACTAGCCCAATAGCAAAATCCACTTGCCCCAGGCTATCAACGAGCATTAACATTCTTGAATGAAGTGGTGGACAAAATAATGATTGTAAATTTGGTATTTGTTATTTCCATATTACAGTCTTTAACTCAAAGTTATCTGCTTGATGACATACTAAATATCTGGAAAGGTTTCCACTTCACGAAATCAATCGTGCATGCAAGGAATACCCCCGTCCCCCCGGGCATGCATAAACCTGACGGAAAATCACACGAAATATAGCCTACCTAGCAAGCGTTTCCGTTTCGTTTCGGAGCGAAAAGAGACAGTGGAAGGGGATTTTCCGTCCTTTTACTTGCACCATTTTTCGCGCGGTCTTTGGCTCTTGTTCCTCGTTCTTTGCTCCTAAACCGCACAGAAACGCTTGCTAGGCAGGCTACAGGAAATACCCTTTTTACGACAGTACATACAGAGGAATAACACACCCTTTCCAACCTGGAAACCCTATCATCCGGCAAATTGCCCGCCGGGAGGCGGAACAGTGCCGGAATAATCTTTCCAACCTTGGGGGATACCAAATCGATTGGGGTTAGCAAATGTTTCATCACGGCAGTAAAATGACAGCAAGGTAGAAAATGCTTTATCACAGTAGTAAAATGAAATCAAGGTTAAAAGTGTCACATCATGATAGTAAAATGATATCAAGGTAGAAAATGTTTGATCCCGGAAGTAAAATGATATCAAGGAAGAAAATGTCCTATCACGGTGGCAAAATGATACTGCAAGTAAGAAAGTGTTCCATCACAGGTAGTACAATGAAATCAAGGTAGAACATGAGTTTATTTGGAACCAAATAAAAAATTTTATGTCTCCCCTTCCAATTTTTTTTAATGTTTGATTTTTCGGGGGTGGTGTAGTTTGCGGCTTTAAAGTCTTCAAGGCTCTGGCATGTGGACTTTGAGTCATCTTACAATGGATTACGATCTCATGAGAATCACAAGACGAAGAGTAAAATTACTTTTGGGTAATAATCACGTGCTCTTATGATAAGGCCACTCCCAGTAAATTTACTTAGCCTCGATCTCATACCCTTTATAATTTCGTAAACATTATTTCATATTTTAACATCGTTAAGATGATTTTTCAGTTTTCAGTAAAACCGGCCATTAATTTGGCCATATTCTTAATCCCAGACCACAGTATCGGTTTTCTTTGTTTCCTAAGTTAGGCGATCTAATAAACAAAGCTCGGCTGTTGGCAGTAAAGTCGGGTTTAGTGATAGTGTTTTTAGTAAACCGGGGAGGAGACACATAAATGATGTTTTATCACGGTAGTAAAATGATATCAAGGAAGAAAATGTCACATCACGGTAGTAAAATGATTCTGCAGGGTAAAAATTGCTAGTCTTTACACTAGAGCCTAAATAAGCTAAGAAATATTTCCAAAAAAATAAAATAATTAAAAGATAAATTTGAAAACCATCCTTAAAACCGACCTGGCGAACTTGCGGTTTCCAAGCTTTGAGAAAGGCGAAGCATGTCAATCAATCTTAATTTTGTTGCGTGGGAAAATACTTAAATAAACCTGACGTAAAAAGGATAGGTTGTGGGTGAAGCTTTCTTTTACTTAAAGCATTTAAAATTTACTTGTCTTGAAATATTTCTTAACTTATTTAGGCTCTAGTGTAAAAACTACCATAAATGAAATCAAGGTAGAACATGATGTTCCATCACGGTAGTAAAATGATATCAGGGAAGAAAATGTCAAATCACGGTAGTAAAATGATACTGCAAGGTCGGAAATGTTTTATCATGGCAGTAAAAGGATATCAAGGTACGTAGAAAATGCCACATCACGGTCGCGGTAAAATGATATCCGGGTACAAAATCCGAGAATCTCGTTCGTCGGTAAACCAAACAGAAACGCTTGCTACGCTAGCGCAGGAGAAGCAAAGCTCAAAGACGAAATCATAAAATGGAGGCTTTTGCATTGTGTAAGGGATTATTGAATCCGAAAACCTTTAACAAGTTCAGTTTTCTAGTAAATGTTCTTTGGATTGTAGCTGGGATCACATTGTTAGGAGTACTGTTAATCAAAGAATCGAGGTCTGACTTCCACTGTGATGTGAACAATGCTAAAGTCGACAAGGACTTCGACACTCAGAAGTGTTTCGTGGAATATGAGAAGCTATACAACAAGCTGTCTGTTCCTTTTTACGGTTTTGTTATTGCTAACTTCTCTTTTCCTTTTATTGTTTGCGTGATATATTCAATATGGGCGACGCCAAGAGTAAAGAAACTTGAAAGCGGAAATATAGATGCTAACACAACTCAAAGAAAACTCTTTATTACGTACTGTTGTCAACTTGCCACTAGATTTTGTGTCGGGATTGTTTTTATCCTCCTTCTATTAAATGAAGTCTTTTATCCTCGTGAATTTCCGTTAAGCTTCCAGTGTAACTTCATGAGAGAAGTCAATCAATCAGCGAATACGACTGGGGCAGCACAAACTCCAACGTACGAATGCAACAATAAGCGAGCTGATTTAAAAACCTTTTTGACGTATGTCGTAAGTGGGGTGAATGGAATTGTTGCAGTTCTTCATTTAATTGAGATTTTCGTTATTTTGTCTCGGGCAAGAAAATGGGGAAAACGTTTCATGACTGACTTACAGTTCTATACTGATCATCTTACATCTACCGGTAATTACAATCACCTGGAAGAGCCGGACGTGCAGCTTGAGGAAGGATCACACGGAGAATGTTCAGCCAGGACTCCTCCTCGTTCAGCTCAGTTGGAAACTTCTATCAATTCCATGAAGGAAAGTGTCTTGAAGAACACCGATCGACTTACAGACCTCTCGTCACCCTTGAAACCGAAACCGGGTGAAGGTGATAAACCTAAAGATCTTAAACTCGACCAAATTTACACTAATTTAATTTTTCATCCTGGAAGAGCTTATTATCACTTTCCTAAAAACCGGCGGGAACAGCTAAAAGTGTACCCCAAACCAGAGACAAAATTACCACCAAACAGACCCGGAGACATTGTTGATGATCTGCACAAGAATATTCTAATCGTTGGTCGCCCTGGAATCGGCAAAACATTGTTTTGCACGAAGTTTTTGCGTCTTTGGGCAAGCGACCGCTTATTCGAGGAAGCGCAAAATCCAGAATTACGATTTGACGTTGCTTTCCTCGTTAAATTTAGGAGACTGAACTTTACTGCTAAGCTTAACCTACGAGAACTATTGGATTACTCAGAATTTTCACCAAATATGACTGATGAGGTATGGCACTACATTCTTGAAAACCCAAGCAAAGTACTTTTTATTTTCGATGGAATTGACGAATACTCTGCAAGGAAGGAAATACAAGAGGATGACTCTATTTATAGAGACACCGTGGAAGAAAAAATGCCTTTGCATGCATTGTACACGAAGATTACGTCGGGAAAACTTCTTGATGGAGCTACTGTATTAACGACTACAAGACCTACTTCTGTATCATGCGTAAGAGACCCTGACCCTAGCAGAGTAATTGAAATTCTTGGATTTTCATCAGAGCAAGTGAAAAACTATGTGGAGAAGTTCGCTGGGGATGACAAAGGTGCAGGAGGAAGGATATGGGATCATATCAGCACCAACCTTAACCTCTTTTCGTTGTGTTATATTCCTGTCAACTGTTTCATCATTTGTTCGTGCCTGCTTTTCATTCTAAAGACCCAATTAACTTCATTTTCCACTGATGCTTTTGTAAGGTCAGCAACTACACTCACTCAAATATACAGCTGCGCCGTAAAGCTTATATTCTTCAGGCACAGTAACAGATACCGCAATAAGACTGTAGGCCAGGACGAAATTACGACACCATTCGAAGAGCTGCCTGAAGATGTGAAAGGGGATTTTAAGAAGCTGGGAAAAATTGCTTTTAAAGGAATTAAAGAAGGAAGATTAACCTTTGAATCAGAAGAAGTTATGACCCTAGAGGATTGTGGCCTACTTCATCAGTTGCCTGATTTGAAACCAGAGGCGAAGCGACCCCTCGAAAAACCCAAAGCTCAATACTGTTTCCAGCATCTGACCATCCAAGAATTTTTCGCAGCAAAGCATGTGGCAGACACATTAAAAGAAGTAGAACTGCGAGAATTTGTTTCAAGTCACATCACGGACGGTGCATGGCAAGTAGTGTTGCAGTTTGTGGCTGGGCTTCTCAGTGACCGAGAAGAACCACTGACCGATATTTTTACTAACCTTCTGCCAGTGTCAACGTATGAGGAAGAGGAACAGGAACTGGACCCGAGCATCGTAACCTGTTGGCCAAGTAAGGAAGACGCACAATTAGCGTTAACGTTATGTCACTGCTTATACGAGATCGATGCAGACGATTCAGCCGTACAAAACAAAGTAAGAGAGATTGATTTCAACGCTGTAGTGTTAAAGTACTGTCGACTAGGACCTGTTGATTGTGCTGCAATAGTCAATTTTCTTAAAAAGCATAACGAAATTTTAATGATTAACTTGAGTGGTAACAAGATTGGCTGCCTCGGTTGCAAAGAAATAAGCAAGTTTTTAGAGTCTTCTACGAGTGTCAGTGATGGTAACTGCAAACTTAACAGCTTAAACCTCAATCATAACTTAGTAACAGATGAAGGAGTAAAGTATTTGGCTAAAGCTTTGAAGCACAATAATTGCAAACTAGACAGCTTAAACCTCGCCGATAACGAATTAACTAATGAAGGAGTAAAGTGTTTGGCTGAAGCTTTGAAGGATAGTAATTGCAAACTCAAAAGCTTAAACCTCGCAGGTAACGAATCAGTTACCGATGAAGGAGTAAAGTATTTGGCTGAAGCTTTGAAGGATTGCAAACTAAACAGCTTAATCCTCTGGCAAAACAATGTAACCGATAAAGGAGTAAAGTATTTGGCTGAAGCTTTGAAGGATAGTAATTGCAAACTAAAAAGCTTAAACCTCGCCGGTAACGAATTTACCGATGAAGGAGTAAAGAATTTGGCTGAAGCATTAAAGCACAGCAATTGCAATCTAAACAGCTTAAACCTCACCGGTAATGAATTTGCCGATGAAGGAGTAAAGTATTTGGCTGAAGCTTTGAAGGCCGGTGATTGCGAATTAAAAAGCTTAGACCTCGCCTGTAACAAATTAACCGATGCAGGAGTAAAGCGTTTGGCTAAAGCTTTGAAGGATTGCAAACTAAACAGCTTAATCCTCTGGCAAAACAATTTAACTGATAAAGGAGTAAAGTATTTGGCTAAAGCTTTGAAGGATAGTAATTGCAAACTAAAAAGCTTAAACCTCTGGCAAAACAATGTAACCGAAGAAGGAGTCAAGAGTTTGGCTGAAGCTTTGAAGAATAGTAATTGCAAACTCAACAGCTTAAACCTCGCCGGTAACGAATTTACCGATAACGGATTAAAGTATTTGGCTGAAGCTTTAAAGGATAGTAATTGCCAACTAAACAGCATAGACCTCTGGCAAAACAATGTAACCGATGAAGGAGTAAAGTATTTGGCTGAAGCATTAAAGCACAATAATTGCAAACTAAAGAGTTTAAACCTCACCAATAACAAATTAACCGATGAAGGAGTGAAGTATTTGGCTGAGGCTTTGAAGGACGGTAATTGCAAATTAAACAGCTTTGACCTCGCCTGCAACAAATTATCTGATGAAAAAGTAAAGTCTTGGGCTGACACTTTGAAGGATAGTCATCAGGGTCACCCAACGGCTGTTTGCTGTAAAATATCTGTTCGGAGAAACAAATACCTACAATATTGAGAACGGCTGCAAACGTCTAGATGATTATTGCATTGATGTACAAGTTTCGAGGCTAACCTGATAAATTCCCTACCATTTCCCTACCCGTTTAATTTTTAACATTTTACTCCCCAGGTTACCGTAAATGATCGATTAAGCAACGCGGCCGCTATGTCGTTTTCCCTGTTATAGGTGCGGCGCTTATACGAGAGCGGCGCTTACTCGAGTAGCGGCGCTTAATCAATCATTTACGGTAAGCTATTTTTTGTGGAAAAAGGAGAACTTAAATTTTCGGATTCGGAAGCGTGAGGGAGACGGGAATCAGAAAAATTCTAACTAAAACGTTAAATTGGATCTAAAATTTCCGGGAAATAATACTGAAGCCGTTGTTGTTTGTAAAATACTCATATTTCCCTATGACTGTCACCGAACAGATACAAATTCTATAGCGCTGCTTATAATGCATTTCTAGACATCTTAAATTACTCTGGACACTCCGGCTAAAAGGCGTTGTCAATGTATTTAGGAGGAGACCGTCGTTGGGTGCCCCTGAGTCATTGCAAAGTAAACAACTTGTACCTCCTTAGTAATCTTAGCGATCAAGGGAATCGTGTATGGTTGAAGCTTAGGCGCTTAGTATTTGGAATGTACGTTCATAAAAGTGAAACGTTATTATAACAGTGAAGAAGTATATGAGAGGAACCAATTCTTTTAAGCCCTCTTTGACTTTGAACTTCATTAGTGAACAGAGCTGTGTTCGCAAAGAGCAAAGAGCAAAAAGCTTGCATTCAAACAGCTTTACTGAGTTTTACTGACTTTAAAACAGCGAGACAGAAGTAGACTAGTGCAATAATAGGAGAATCACCTGGGAAGAGTAACTGTAGTAACGTTTTTATTACTTTCTGATAATTGCTGATTGATACACTACTGATAATTTTGTACAGTTTTCAGTTTTGCAATGTGGTGTTTTAGTATAGAGGAAATTAAGTATCTTGTTGTGGTTCAATTTAACGCTCGGCTTAAATTTTATTTCTCTTGTTTTGGGGTATGGTAATGTATGAACGAAATAAAATTGAAACCAAGGATAAAATTGAACCACAACATTAATCTTTTACTTACGTCTGGCATGTCTATGAAAAAAGGTTTGCATACTAATTGCTGTAAATTAGACAAGAGACTTTCATTAAGTTGACTGTAAAAATAGAGCTGTACATATTCAACGAATAGTATGAATGTTACATTAAATACAACTAGATTTAATGGATTTGAGTGATACTGGATCAAGAGTGAGAAAATTAAGTCACTTCTGGGGAGGAGATGGGACGGAAGAGTTGGCCACATCTCAATACTCCCTCATTTTGTGGTTAACATTCTTTCATTCATCGCCTTCTGAAATCAAATACAGTTTGTTTCTCTTTCACCAGTTATGATCTAGACGTTCTCTGCTTTCTACTGGCAGAATCCGTGGTCTTAACCTGCAGGGTATTCTGGGGTCCTGTATTCCACAGTATCCCGGAACTGTCAATCACACTAGAAGACACAGTTACGTGATAAATAGACTGTGTACTAAACTGGAGAAGGAACTGGGCACTAAAGTAATCATGGTGGGGAACCACTGTTTGTTCTAAGCTGGTCACGTGATCTCGAGAAGTCTGAAATAAAGAAAATACACCAAAATTTCAGAAATCTTTTACACTGCTGGTGTTGCAAGCACTAGAGAAACCAGTACAGAAATCGGTAAAGCGTGGCGTAACAGTCTTACGCGCGCAAAGTGCACGAGCTTCACACGCCCGTAAGGTCTCTCCCCAGTCTCGCTCTCGTTTTTAGCCTCGTTCCAGACCTTTTGTTTGACTGCTTGCGCGTAGGTACTTGAATACGCAAAAATACGGACTGTTTTGCAGTCTACGCTCACTGAGTCTGAAGGGCCAAAAGCTACTGCTAAGAAACAAATACAAACCTTTCCATCTATGAGGGTCGTATAGGGGGGGTCTCTCGCACGGTTCACGAACAGAAAAAACAGCGAATCACGGATCACGGCTATCAAAATTTCATTTTCCCGAATCACGAAAATACAAGTAAGGTACTCGTTTTAATAACCTTCTCTTACGGTAGAAAGAGTGTTTGAAGAAAGCAAAATCGTTAAAGGCTAAGTAAAGGCTGCTTATCGGAAATCACATACCTAAATCACTCTCGATGGACGACTCTGACCATTCGTCCACTTCGCGTTGTAACTGCCCGAAGAAACAACAAATCGTCTAAAGAATCTACCTCGTAATTGTTAGCAATAGGATATTCAGCGTCTGAGTCAGTGTCATACTCTTCCTCCTCTTCTACCTCGGCTTCCTCTACTACTTGAACATCTTCAATGGCCTCGTGCGATGTAGAAGGCGTAACGGTCGTAGCAGAAGTAACAGTCTCCTCTTTGACAGTGTTAGGGCTGAATGAGACTTTATCTTTAGCATAGTCTGATGTTCTGTACATGTTTAACGGCAATGTTCCGGCCTTGAACATGGTGGTCTCTTGTCTTACACTTCTCTGTCGTGCAGCCCTCCCATTATTTGTCGCCCACTCAATCATGAGGTCTTTTTCCTGCCTATTTAACTCCCTTCTTGCCTTAAGATGCTCCAGCTTCGGAATGGCATTTATTGGAGTGCTCTGGCGTAACCCGTGATATTATGATTTATCATGTGTGAAGTAGTAGGCACTCCAGGGTACTACACGCTTAATGCTTTCGTATACGGTATTTGCCAGATTCCGTGCGTACTGCAAAAGGGTAGGAAACTGGTCCTTGAAATGACCAACTGCGTGTAGGTTTTCAACCTGAACTGTTAGACAAGAGTACAGATCAATGGCGAAGCTTGGGTTATGTTCTTTAACTAACGCCTCCAGATCTTTCAGTCCATTTAATATCATGTTAACCGAACGCTTTGTCTGATTAGAAATAGTTCCTTGAGAACCGCTTGGTTTACCTGTGCTGGCATTGTTTACATCGTTGCTATGCGACAACGCTTTTTCTGTTGTTGTTTCCAAGTAACTGTCAAGTTCTTCCAGAAGCTCGATTGCTTGTGGTAGGGAACGTATTGGTACAGTCTGGTGTTTCATATGAACAGAAAAGGCTTTATACAGGAGACCAAGATGGCCTAAATACTTTACAATGCCTTTTATTGAGGTAATTAGCTTCACAGAGCCTGTTTGAGCATCGGTGATGAATATGTTCTTATCGTGCTCCACACATATGCACATAGGCTGCGCAAATGTTGCTTGGTCTCCCTTTCCATTCGAATTGCCTTCCTTTCCTGTGCCAGCAATAACTAAGGCCTCCTCACCACAGATCTTCGTCTTTATTTGCAGGCTTCCAATGTCCACATAAACTATACCAGCGAGATACGAGGCCACGTGTGCGCGTTCACTGCATTCTACAGTTCCTTTTTGTACGATCACGGTTTCCTCGAGTGTTGACATTGCAATACTTAAGATTCCGCCTGGATTGCCCTTGTGAGACAGATAAAGGATGTTATTGTTAAGGCACATAGACACTGCTTCTGTGCTAGAGGCTGAGTATTTTGTCAAAACTGTAACATTGTCTTTAACTGCCACTCCATCCATCCCTAATGTAATGGAATAGATAACCTTGTCCACATCACTGGCATAAAGGATGATACTATCGCTTGCCTTAGCAATTCTGGATGGTTCGATCTTTTGAGAAAGCTGAACTTTAGTCAAGTCACTTTTTGTTTCTGCATATGTTCTTTCTACATTCTTTAGATGCATAGAGTCGTTCTCGAAGCACCGGAACTGTTCCGAGTGTGTCAAGTCCTCTCTTCTGCAACTCAGAAGTGAGCTCTACGTTTTTGAGATTCTTTACCTGTAGCGTTGGCTTCTTTGCAATGGAAAATAGTTGTATTCCTGTGGGACAGCTTACATACGCTATTCTATCGCAGTAAGCGAGCGATTTAGCTGCACTATGGCATTCTCCAACAATCTTGACATCTGCTGGGACATGAAGCCTAACTACTAGAAGCCTAGTGAAGTTCTTCAGTGGAGCATAGTCCAGAACGAGAAGTTTTCCGTGCTCACCGGGGCAAGTTGCTACGGGATGCGGATATAGCCCTACCTTGTTGGTCTCACTGATTTTGTAGCTGTCTGGGAGAACTGAATGCACCACGCGATCGACGGTGCGGAGACGAGCTAACACAGACTCTTTACGCAAATGTAGTATACAGTTTATGTCCATCCGATCTTTATTTAGGACACTGTCTCTTGGTAGCAACTTCTTCAATTCCGGATCAGAATCTCGGATTGTGTGCAACATTGACAAACATGCTCTCTCCTCATCCAACAGCAACATCCAGTTGGCGATGCTACACTTTAAACTTTTGCCTACGTGAGCGGCATCAGGAAGGCAAACGAATATAAACTGAGGGGGCAACGCACGTTCCATCAGCCTTGCTCTGAGAAATCAATTCAAATGCTCTTTTGTTCCCAGATTCACAGTCCGATGCCAAAACAAGAACCACCGCTCGAGAACACTGAACATTGGATTGAAGACACCGTTGCCAAGCACGAAGAGATGGCACGTGGCTAAGCTGCCCTTGAGCACGACAGGTGTTACAGACAGAAGCACTCTCTATGCAAGCCTGGCATACACTTTTGCAAATCGCTGTAGCAGGTTTATCAAGAATATGCTGTGATGAAACCGCTGCCTTTATGCAACAATGACATGTTTGCAACAGCTCAACCTCATTGAGAAACCGTTCTTTCATCTGTTCTCCTGTTTTGCCTGCCTTGGTTTTGTAGGTGACACTGACTGGCATGGCAACCCCGTTGTCTGTCGTTGACAAATAAGTTACATTTGCCTCTGTCACCCCATTCTCTTTTAGAAATTCAGATTTTGGGACTGGATTAGCCTTCGGTCAACGTAAAATACAATACATTCGACCCTCACCGTACTATACGTACTCGTCCCCTCCATGTCTCGGATGTTTCGATGTTTTGGATCACTGTCCTTTGACCTCCAGTGACACAGGAGACCATAGGCATAGGAATAGACATCTGATCCATGATAGGCATGTAAAGCACGTGAATTTGCACAATGGATTACTTTAATTATAGCGAAGTCTGTTACTTGTCACATTTGATGTTTTCAGTCTTAAAATAAGTCTTCCGGAGCACTCGCATCTCAAAATCACGCCAAATAGAGTGGTGAAATCACGAATATCGGTTAATAATTCAAGTTCTTCACGGGTCACGCAAAACCTTCAGATCACGGATCACGAAGAATAATTTATTAAATTCACGTTTCACGGAAAATAAAATCAGCCAATCGCGCATCACGGGAATACCCCTGTACGACCCTCATCTATGGGTTGTTGCTTTCTGTCCTCAGCGCGCCATGTTACTGACAAGCAAACAGACTGCACATCGCGGTAAAGTTCTATAAACAAGAAAAACAACACAAACTAAAATTGAATAGTGAAGGCAACTCCATAATACAACTTTGAGTCCTTGTATTGTCAACAAGGGATTCGTTATGGCTTTGAGCTAAGACTTACAGCCACAGACCTGATCAAGGCGGATGATTTTGCACAATATGTCGTTAGCCAGTTCAGGAACGTGCAACTATAAAGTGGAATATCTACCACAGATTTCATATGAGAAAAACACTCGTAAAAAAATAGTTCTTGACATCGTAGTTGTTTTCCAAGTTCAAACCAAATGCAAAACCATTTGTGGAAAATTAAGTTACTGACATTACATCGGGTCATACTACAATACTGTCGTAAAAGTTTAAGTTTACACCTCTAACAAGACTCTGACCTACCTTTTGACCGCGCTCTATGACCCGGGGGGGGGCACTTTAGGAATTTCTGGGTGGGGATGTGCCGCTGGGACCCTGGAACCCTTAACCTATACCAGAGCTAGTTCAGCTGAATTTTGCTACCCTATACTAGAGTAAACTCCCCAAATCCCCCTATCCTAGAGTTGCTGTTTACCTAGTCTAGATAAAATCTTCAACCAACTGATCAGTTTCCTGAAAAATGATACCCTATTCTAGACCAAAACGCTCTGATTTATATACCCTATCCTAGAGTAAACTGCTTGAAAACCATACCCTTCACAGCGGCACATACCTATATAGCCCATATATGGCAGTACCCCCCCCCCCGGGTCTATGACTCCTTCCACCTTAAGAACAAATTGTGTATCCAGTGTGACCGAAATTGGTTCTGAAGGCGACCGAGGCGAAGGTGACAACGCCAGCTGCATGACAGAAGGAGAGACCAAGATTAGCAAAAGTAATTGTTGTTCAAAACGTGAGGATGATTGGCAAATAAGAGTTACAGAAAGTAAACAGATTCAAGTTTTGTTGTCACAAGAAAGGAATTTCTACCTAATGTTCATTCATTTCAAACATGTTGCGTCCTGTCTCTTACTGATTATAACTAATTTAAAAAAGATTCTTTTATACGGACCGCGAGACAAAACTAGCATCTTTTCCATTCCCGCGCCATTCCCACTAAATTTTCGCGCGTTTTCCATGGGTTACCTGTACCCGACTTCCGCCATTTTAACTAGTAATGTGCGAGTGCAACAGAAAAACTCCCACTAGTACCCACCAATACCTTTCGGTTTTCAAGTAGTATCTTGCGAAGAGAATGCCTTTTCTGAACTGTTTAAAAATTATGTCGTGAACCAAAGACAACGACATCAAATAATGCAAGGTTGGTTCAGAAAAGCCAAGTGAAGCGCGTAGCGAGCGATATAACGGTTATAAACACGGCAACTAGAAAACAAAATTCCACGACGTTTATAAAGCCAACAACATCAAGACTGTATACAGAGGAGGCTCTCCTAACAGACGCCCTCGTAAGATGACAGCTTTACTCACGGCCACCTTCTTAAAACTCTGTTTTTCTCAACTCTCATACAAACTCTGCTTTTTACATTCCCGTAAGCGGCCAGCTCCAGGTACGGGCACCTTTTTCGCGTCACGAGGGTGTCCGCTCACGAGAGCTTCCACTGCACAGGCAATCTAGGACTCACCAAAATAGTTACATAGAAAATTCTTGAGTACAAACCTGGATAAACGTGGCTTGTTGACTGGAGAAGAAGTGTTTCGGGAAAATAAACGGCACCTTCAGGAGAGTCATGGAAGCCCGAATAAGACATTCAGTTTGCTGAAAAACGATAAAATGTATAACCATAAATCAATATCATGACACTGACATTTCCCAAATTAACTAGGCAAGTTTTCACACCTTCGTACATTAATTTTTATTCCCTTACTGATAAAATTACTTTATTAGCAAGTGAGACCAGTGTACTGAAGTATAAAAAACTTCATTAATTCACTGTGTCTGTTCAATACATTACATGGATATCATTAAATGATTCATCAATTTACCAAGTGGCAAACAGGAAGAGCTTCCAGCTGAATTGCTAGCTCCTGAAGAGATAATAAAAATTATACAGTAAAAGTCAAATAATAAAAAAGAAACTGGGGATACCTGGCCAGGAGCCTCTTCGTAAGGCGAGTGATACATGTTTTAAAGATGATGGAGCTAGTTTTCATTCAAAGAAATTCTGGAGCTACTTTCGTGGAAATTAACACCTTTTTATGGCTGAGTATCGTTGGTGAGGTGCACTAATATAATACAATATAACCTGTTTACAGGTTGCCATTACTACTACTGATGGACGATCATGAGGTTATCCCTATACTAAGATCTCTCCTTACAGATGGAACCCACCAACCCCAGGAAAGGTTGACCACACCTCCCGGGTCTACGTCCCCTACTGTTTTTGAACAGTAGTGTGGGTTCTTTTACGTCCCACAAAGGCGACCAGAACTGAAGAAGCTATCGTGAGCAGTTTATCTAATGATACGCAACTTGTGGGACTGGTGCAACGGAAAGGGAACGCGCGAGGAAGCAGGGAGGAAAACCTTCATGTACTCGCTTTTCGCGGGACTTAGCATAATTTCCCCTCTTCCTCTTAAGCTCCAGTGGAATTAGTCTGAAATGACACACGTCTCCACCCGCTTACCCGGCGGGGGTTGGGGGAAGAGAGATCCCCACGAATTAGGGGGTGGAGACGTATGACATTTCAAACTACAATGGTATATATACGCCAATAAAAGAGACGTCGGTATATTTGTTAGTCATAGTCCATTAACATTTGAAGTCAATGACAAACCTCTACTGTTTGTAGAATTTCTGTGCACGCCAGGGAAAGTGGACTACATCTAAACGTGGAAGACTTGTTGACACTGCTTCCTTGCTCACCTAAAGACGAGCTACAAACAAATATAAGTCTAGAGGTTTACAGATGAGCTTGTTAAAAATCGCACATATATTGAATTTAAGCTCGAGAAATATTTTTATGGAAGCCCGTCGATTGGCCCCTCAGTAGATACAGACAATTCTTTCCGAGGTCTAACATGCGTGTGAAGCCTCGGTGACATAACGTAACTCAACGTAAAGAAACCCAACGCAACTTTAAGTAAAATTACTCAACATCACGAAACGGAACGTAACGAAAAGCACCGGACGACTTACCACCTTCAAAACAGCATACCTACATATACGTTGTTCTTGTCTAACAAAAAGGGCCCAAACTGAGAAAAGTAAATTACACTCTTTTGTGAACATCACGCATTAAATGACTAAATTAACTTGTTTTACCTTGGCTGAGACGTTTTCATTAAGACATCAATACTGTGTGATATCATTAAACAGCTCTGTTGAAGGCTGAGAAACTTGTCAAGGAAT